CCGCGAGCTGCTTGAGTCATGGTTCTCAGGCCCCCAGTCCATCAACAAGCGCGACGATTTAGTGTTCCCATATTGCGTACTAAGACATAGCCTGAGCAAGCGAATCAGTCACGTGGGAAGGGCCGGGCCCAGAAACAGCAACTCTGACGACAACGAGCATAATTGTCGCGCAATTACCAAGTCCAAATCCAACACCGACGAGGAAATCACGACAATTAGTATGTCGAACGCGAAGTGTCAAGCCAGTACCGCACCAATTAAGACCCAAGCGGTGGCTAAAGAACTGGATAATTATCGTGCGCACGCAGATGACCACTATGAACTATAAATACCCTGCAATCTGTACATGTTTCAACCCTATTCGCCCATGAACTTGACTATGATACCAGTATCTATGATTAAGGATTTCTGACGGAATCCGAAACGTCAGGAAAATAAAACTCCTGTTCCAGTGATCGCTTCTTCTTTTCCAGAGGCAGGATAATCGATGTCAAATAAGCCGATTAGATCACACTTATCAGCAGTGACTAAAGATAATAAATAATTGACTACATAGCAAATAAATTAACTTTTTGATTGTCAGGCGTAATACGAACGTTATCAGTGTACTAAAATCTGGGACACATTCAGCTCTTTGTAGGAATTGATTGGAAAATTTGGGCACGAACAGAGTTGGTGCAAGGATCGCAAATTCATAGCAAGTGCATGTGCGTTTATGAAGGACGCCCGATTGAGGAAGCAGTTAAGATCATTGATTGTCGATACAGCCAATCAGAATGTGGATAGAGCTACTAACCAGGCATTTCGGCATCCGAGCTGCCGGCTTGGCTGGAGGAGGGCATCTTTTGGGGCGCAATTTTGCGTTTGCGTCGCCCATTGATGATTCCCTGGAAGTTCCCGGTCGGCGGGGGTGGGTCTGGCAGAAGATAATAGAATGCAAGTGAGGCGTTGAGAAGTGCAATAGCAGGAAATACAATAGATGAGGTAATTCCTGAAAAAGTCATGGTCGAAATCGGACTTGACAGTTTAGCATACATTTGGTCAGCCTAGTTTGATCTAATGGGTGGATTTGATCCTGGGGAAGACTTCAAGGAAAACTGTCCGTCCAGTTCAGATTACATAGGCATAATAGGCAGAATTTTGGCGAAATCGGAAGTCGTCTGAGGTAAAACAAATTTTCTATACTATTTGGTATGAAATAGCATTGTGCTATTGTAAAACTTCAATATAAACAAGGAAAGTTTAAAATACAACCCTTCAACAAACGGAAAATCTAGTCCCAATTTGATGAAAATCGGATACTTTTTTGTACAGTATAATTTCTGCTTATGCGTAATTTAGAAACGAAACAGAGAAAAGATTAACAATTTTAGAAAAATCTTGGTATGTACTTGGCCAGTTTCTTTTGCGTTCGCAACCTTAGAACAGGGCCTAAAAATAATGAACCATCGCAAAAAATTTTCCAATATTAAGAGAAAAGTGAGTTCTTTTTTTTCACCCAAAACTGCATCATTCATTTTCAGGTCAATTTAAAAACTGGTCTCAATTCTCTATCTTCACTTGATATTAAAATCCAACTGAATCTAAGTTTATGGAATAAGGCTTGAAAACAGTAAAAAGGGTAGAAAATTTGCCGGAATTTAAAGGACGATCTGAAACCAATTGTAATCCAATATCTGAAATGACTTTAAATAAATTTTAAACAAAGAAAGTTCTTTGAATAAAAAGAAAATGGTATGATTATGATTTTAACCGAAGATTTCATTCACATTTATTGGTCAAATTTATAGATTTTTTTCACATTTTTGGAACTTTAGTGTTCTCTAAAATTCCGTAAATATTCCCATTGCTAATTTTAAAAGTCAGTTTATGGCAAAAATATGTCTTCAGCAACTCGTTATCAGGCCAAACATTTACAGTGGAAATGAACGCTTTACATAACAATTAAAGTTTGAATATGTACAAAAATCAATAACTATCTAACATGGGCACTGATTGGCCACTGCGGACTATGTCAGTTTGTGCAAGTAGGCC